GAGCCCAAGAATTGGAGGTTGCTGTGAGCTATGATGATGCCACCGCCCTCTGCCCAGGGCAACAGCTTGAGACTCTCTCAAAAAAAAAAAAGGAAATTAACTTTTTGCAAAGCAGAAAGTGAATGGAGGAGTGGTGACTGGAGTTCACACAGGAAGGTCTACCTAAGTCCACGCAGCGGCTGATAAACAGCGGACACGAGCTGGCTGGCCCAGGGGTGTCTTGAGAGCTTCCGTGTGCTTGGAGGCTCCAGCCACCAGTTTTGCAGATCACAATGGGAATTCTTTAAAAGTCTATATCTAGGTCTGGCTTTTGACTGATCCTCTCCCGAACCCCAGCAGATGGATGACTACATCAGTTCCCTTTTCTTTTTTTCTTTCTTTCTTTCTTTCTTTTTTTTTTTTTTTTGAGACAGAGTCTCACTTTGTCACCCTCAGTAGAATGCTATGGCGTCACAGCTCACAGCAACCTCAGACTCTTGGCTGAAGTGATTCTCTTGCCTCAGCCTCCCAAGTAGCTAGGAGGTACCTGCCACTAGACCTGGCTATTTTTAGATATGAGGTCTCCCTCTGGCTCAGGCTGGTCTCAAACCTGTGAGCTCAGGCAGTCTATCTGCCTTGGCTTCCCAGAGTGCTAGGATTATAGGCCTAGCCACCCGCCCCGTCCCATTTCTTCTGGGAGGGTGGAGGAGCATTAGAACATGGAAGTGTTTCAGACTGGAGCATGAGGCATGGAGGGGTCCTGGACAGGGCTGCACACTGAAGTCTAGGATCCTCATCTTTTTCTCCCTTGCATCCCTCCACAAGCCAGCGCCTAGATGAGTTGTTCCTGTCTTACCTCACCCAAGGTTTCTTTTTCTCTGGCAAACTGAGCAGCTTCTTTGAAAATAACCTCTATGTACTGGACATTTGGAGGTCTCCCAGTGAAAAGGCAACTCACAGATAAGCCCTTCAGCCTGCCATTTTCTAGTGCCTCTGAGAGGTTAAGGACCAAAAATGAGAAATTATTCTGAGATGTGAACAAAAGGAATCGGAGTCCAGGTTCTTTGTGGGCAGCATGGCCTGTATTCCACTCGAGTGAGAGTGAGCTGAGTCCGAGAAAGGAGTCAGCGTGTGGGTTTAAGGAGGATGGGAATATGAAAGTTCAGAGGGGTAGGGATTGGCACATTCATTTCTTCCTGGTGGGACATTCTATTTGGGCGGGTTCCTACCTTTGGCCTTATCAGCCTCACTCTTAAATATGAAGGAGCACCTGAGATGACTCAATGCATGAGGAAGACAGACCCGCAAAGCAGTCTGCCAGCCAACAAAAAAAGGGAACTTGGAGGAATCAAAAGATGCATGAAGCAAGAAAACTAAATGCAAACTAAAAAAAAACATTAGAAGATGTTCAAGTGTCCATTAAAAAAAAAAAGGATAGAGCAGTAGGAATAAAGAGTGGAGAACAAGAAAGTACTTCTGGAAATTTGAAAACATGGTAGCTGTAAAAAAAAATTGCATGGACAGATTGGAAGATGAAATTGAGGCATAGAGCAAGAGACAGTGCCGTGTTTAAATTCATCTAAAAATTTAATCTGTATTTACCGGTAGTACTCTTTTAAAATCATGTACATTTACACATTTGTTACAAATAACAATAAAAAGAATATTAGATAAAAAGAATAAAGCTATACATTAAACATTTTTTTTTTTTTTTAAACAGAGGCTCACTCCATCACCCTGGGTAGGGTGCTGTGGTGTCATCATAAGCTCCTAGCACCCTTAAACTTTTGGACTCAAGCAGTTTTCTTGCCTCAGCCTTTTAAGTAGCTGGGATGACAGATACATGCCACCACATCCAGCAATCTGATCCCCCCCCCGCCCCAGGATTGCAGGTATGAGCCACTCAGCCTGGCCTAACAATGAAGAATTTTAAACTCAAGTCTTCACAAATGTAACAAATTTTAGCAGTCATTTTAAGAGAATTTTTAATAGCTTAAGATCCTTTTACATTGCATTTATAAATTTAGTATTCTTTTTTTTCAGTATTCATTTTTAAGTCATTAAATTATCTGAAAAAATTTTTGCAAGTTGAGAAGCTAAAGAAAAACCCTCAATTTCTCCTGCTTTACTCTCAGAGCACGGAGCACTTTCAGCAGCAGCTGTGTGGGGGGATTTCCTACACACCAGGCGTAAACCAGTTTGCAGCCAAGTCTTCAGTGGACAGGAGCTGGGTGTCCTTTAATTCAGTTCAGTTCTGATATTCTGCCTGGAGTTAAGCTTCCGATCCCGTAGGTTGAGGGCATAGTCTCACAAAACTTCCCCTACATTTGATACCATCAAACCCGCAGGTTGTTGTATCCGTGCTTCTGACCAACCAGTTAATAAATCGGGTTTCCCACCACACCCACCCACCTTGTGTTTAACTAATTTGCTATAGCGGCTTGCAGAACTCTCGGGAACACTTTACTTACATTTACCGGTTTATTATACAGGATGCTACTAAAGACACAGATGAAAAGATGCACAGGGCAAGGGTGGGAAAGCACCTGCAGCTTCCATGCCCTCTCTGGGCACATCTCCCTACAGAAATCCCCACCTGTTCAGTTACCCTGATAGTCTCAAACTCTGCCCTTTTGGCTTTTTCTAAAGCGTTGTAATGATTGATTACATCATTCATTGGCCATTGGTGACCATCTCAACTCCTCACCTTCCTGGAGGTCAGCTGATGGGACTGAAAGTTCCAACTCTAATCATGTGGTTCTTCTGGTGACCAGCGCCCATGCTGAGGCTGTGTAGGAGTCCCAGGCACTGGGCATCGGTCAGCTTCATAGCATGTAAAAGACTCTTACCACTTTGGAGAGTCCAAGGAAGTTTTATGCCAAGAAACTAGGATGAGGATCAAATATGTATTTCACAGTACCACACAAGTACTTAACTTTTCTGAGCCAGATATTCATGGATTTTATAAGTTCTGAGTACATTTTCAACTCAGAATCAAATGCTAAACTAATTCATTAACATTTTAGATTGGAATCACATGTTTAATTTTTTAAATGCACTAAAAACATGCGGAGCTTTTTTTTTTTTTTTTGAGACAGACCATCACTTTGTTCCCCTGGGTAGAGTGCGGTAGCATCACAGCTCACAGCAACCTCAAACTCCTGGGCTCAAGTGATCCTCTTGCCTCAGCCTCCTGAGTAGCGGGGACTACAGGCGCCTGCCACAACACCCACCTACTTTTAGAGATAGGGGTCTTGCTGTACCTCAAGCTGGGCTCCAACCTGGGAGCTCAGGCAGTCCACCTACCTCTGCCTCCCAGATTGCTAGGATTACAGGCATGAGCCACTGCGCCTGGCCCAGAGCTTCTTAACCTAAGTATTTAAAAATACCAAATGCATACCTATTATACCCATACCCAACATAAAAGTATCAATCTGTGGACCTCATGTACTTTATGTTTCCTCCCAACTCCAACTCACACCTTTTCTCGCTCAAATTATTTATTTTTAAAGTAACTCACACCTGTATTCTAAACCTGCCTGTTTTTTTTTTTCTTTTTTTGAGACAGAGCCTCAAGCTATTCCCCTGGTGTAGAGTGCTGTAGTGTCACAGCTCACAGCAACCTCCAACTCCTGGGCTTAAGCGATTCTCTTTCCTCAGCTTCCCAAGTAGCTGGGACTACAGGTGCCTGCCATAACACCCAGCTATTTTTTGGTTTTAGTTGTCATTGTTTAGCAGGCCTGGGCTGGGATTGAACCCTCCAGCTCTGGTGTATGTGGCTGGCACCGTAGCTGCTTGAGCTGCAGGCACTGAGCCTCCTGCCTGGTTCTTAAAGACCTTTTCAATTTCACCGTCTCAAAGAATTTGAGATTATCCTTTTCTAGCAATTTGGGGTCATGTTTTTAGTTGGCTGAGGCTGAATCTTATGAAAGCTTGCGGAATTTAGAGCTACAGGATGATTTTTTCCTCCTGAATAGGATAAGCTGAGCCTCGTTTTGTACTCTGTGCTGCCACAGTTCCTCTTCAGTGGGGTGGCCTTTAGACCTGCCACCCTTGGATTCAGATCCCCAGTCACTGAAACTTAAGCCTGACAGGTCTCGGCCCCCACACCCAGGATGCGTGACTGACTATTTATTTTGTTTGTTTGTTAATGTACTGTATTTATTACTTGATTCTGTTCTGTATTTTTATTTGGCAGGCTAAAGGTTTTAAGAACTTTAAGGATTTAATTACTTCAGCTTGGATTTTGCACAACTCCCATGACAGTTCTAAGGTCATTTTCTTGACAGTTTTAACTTCTCATTTTCCAGAACAGGAAGAATGTTTTTATCCTAAAAAAAATTTACACAGAGAACATAAACGGAGATTATATTTGGATTATAACCTTGATTTCTACATATATGGTATAATGTCATATCTTAGGTCTCCAATAGTTTTTGGCATGGACCATATACCTCTGCTCGCCAATAGAAATGCAATTTGAGCCACATATGTAATTTAACTTTTTTTAAATTTCAGGTTATTGTGAGGGTACAAACAACCAGGTTACAGTATTTGAATTTGTTAGGTAGAATCCCTCTTGTAGTTGTGTGTAATTTAACATTTTTTTAGTAGCCACATTGAGAAAAAAGAAACAGGGTAAATTAATTTGTTTCATTCAACTCAGTATAATGTAAATGTTATTTCAAGAAATAATCAACATAAAAATTGAGATATTTTCATTCTTTTTTTCATACTGAGTTTTTGAAAGTCAGTGTTATTTTATTCTTACTGCACATCCTGATTCAGGCTAACTACATTTCAAGTGATCGATCAATAGCCACCATATTCTAAGTTTTGGATCAGTAGCCACTTGCAGCTCAGGGTTTCTGTTTGGGCCAGTATGCTTCTGCTACTTAAGTAAACATAATTGTTGCTTTGTATATAAATGTGTATATATTTATTTTAGATACACATTTTTCTACTTGAATAAAATTGAAAACATTTTGAAATGTGTATCTTTATTTTCTTTCTCTTTAAAGGCCCTTCCTTCTTCCATGATTATAGTAGCAGTTTATTGTCCTGTGATAGCTGCTGTGTTCATTGTTCTGAAGATGGTCAACTATCGACTGCACAGAGCCCTTGATGCTGGAGAAGTGGTAGATAGGCGTGCAAATGAATTCACAGATCAGCGAGCCAAAGCTGAGCAAGGCAACTGTTCAACCAGGAGAAAAGACAGCAATGGACCGAGGTAAGGAAACCTGTGTCACTCAGCTTCTAAGGGTACAGGTCCTGGTGTGTGTATATTGGTGGGATTATCGTGCTGTACCTGTTTCTTTGTATGATTTTAGAGCGGTTTTGGATCTTATACTTTAGATACAATGACAAGTACAGATTGGGATATTAGAATAGAGCAAGGCTAACTGGCATGTCTGAGGGATTAAATCAATATCCTTGGCCTCATTACTAAACAAGTTAGATCAGGTAACAAAAACAAGTTATGCTGCTGTATATGCAGTAATAGTTACACCAAAGGCCAAAGCTTATGAAAAACAGCCTAAAGAAAAAATTAAACATGGAATTATAATCTCAGCATTTATTGTTTATTTACACATATAAATAAAAACATGTGTCTTAAGCAAAGTAATAATACTTGACATTTATAGTCTGCATTTTTTCACTTAATCTATTATAAATAGTTTTCAGTTTTATATTCTTACCTTAGAAACTTAGCTGCTCCTTTCCTAGATCTTTGCAAGCCTGACTTTTTAAGATTTAGCACTGGCTAGATGTCATCTCCTACTGCAGGCTTTCCCTTCCAGTCTGGCTGAAGTATTATGTGCTGACAGTTCTATTGGTGACCTTGGCCCCACCCACTTTCTCTTTGACACATGGATGTATTTTATTCATAGGCAGAAGTTTATTGTGACCTTAAAGAAATAACAGGTACCACTATCTAATAACAGTTTCTTTGTGAACACTTGACATATATAAACTTATTTAATCCTCAAAACATTTCTGTGGGGTAGATGCTATAATTATCCCTGACTTATAACTTATCCCTTTCCACTGAGATGTGGAAACCAATGTAAATCAGATTAAATAATCTAAGCAATTGTTTTCACTCGGCACAATATGAAATATTTTAGGTATTGAGGTACAAATAATATAATGAAAAGTGGGCATTCCTCTCTTAAGCCAGGTAATATTTCTGTGTATTTTCCAGTGCATTGAAAGCCTTTGTTTATCCCTTTTCCAATTACATTTTTCCTAATCTCTAATATAGTTACCCTGTTTGTTCATTGGACAAATATTTTACCCTTGTAATAATTTTATTTTTTGCATTAATCACTATCTGAAATAATTACCATTTATTACCATTTGTGAGCTTCTTGTAGGCAGGGGTCTTGTTTTTCTTAGAAACTATTAAAATAATCCCAGGTTTCCTAAATCAGTGTCCAGCACTGGTAGGTATTCAGCAAATATTTAAAGTCATGAAAACAAATTTTCTGTGATAGTATGTTTAATAACACATAGTATTTCATTGGGTGGATGAATTATAATTCAATTATAAAATAACTTTTTATAGTTATTTCAATTATTTTCAAATGTAAATACTACATTTGATGTTTAAATTTTAAATGATGAAATGTTTTACCATCAGTTTATCAAAGGTAGAATTACTAGAAAGGTTATGTACATTTTTAAGTTTTCCATTATACACTGCCAAAGATTTTACTATTTAGCTATCATGAGCCCCAGTTTGAGGGCTATTTTTGCACTTTAGATATCATTGAATATTAGTATTTTGAAAATGTGATATCTCATTGTTTAGTTTTATCATGTGTGGATTTTTAGTAAAATGAAGTATTTTTCTTGTTACTGCCATTTGTATTTGTTATTTTGTGAGTTATATATTTTCTGTTGGTGGCTACTGTTTTTGCTGTTGATTTGGAAAAAATAGATTTATGAAAATAGTACCTTTTTTCTGTATCTTCTATGTCAGATACTTTTCCTCAGGTTATAGTATTTTGCCTGTTTATACGTCATAACTTAGTTTTATGTGGCCTATTCTGTGTATGTTTATTTCTGATTTTGATGTCAAATTTTGTAAGATTTTTCCTTCCCCCACATTCCACTTGTATCTACTTTCAGTATTTTTATCATTTAGTTTTTACTTTTAAATTCTTGTGAATTTGAAAAGTTTTTATTTACTATGTTTAGGTTTGCTTGTCCAAATACTGTTTACTAAATAATTTATTTTTTCCAGTAATCTTAATGCTTTCTTTCTTTTTTTTTTTTTTGTAGAGACAGAGTCTGATTTTATCTCCCTCGGTAGAGTGCT